GTGGGGGAAAAAAACATGCAGTTGGGCTGCCTTGGGTAGTGGGGGGAAGGGGAAAATATCCGGCGGGAGACGGAAGGATTCCGGATACATGATTGGGGAAAGGCAAAAAAAACCCCTGACCTTGGGGAATGGGAAGGGGGTCCCTCAGTGACATAAGTGGACTCCTGGAGACACTGATCCGGGGGAAGGGTCCGCCGACCTTAGGGAAATGGGGAAGGAAAGACATCCGGAGCGAGCGGATGGATTCCTGGATACATGAACTTGAGGAAGGTTGTTGTTGAGGCTAACCTTGGGTAAGTGGGGAAGGGGAGACATCCGGAGCGAGCGGATGGATTCCTGGATACATGAAAACCCGGCAAGGCAAGAATACCCTGCAGTTGAGGCTGACCTTGGGTAAGTGGGGAAGGAGAACCGGCGTAGACGGAAGGATTCCTGGATACATGATCCTGCGGACGGCAAGAATACCGCTGACCTTGGGGAAGTGGGGAAGGGAGTTCACCTGAGGTGACATAAGTGGATTCCTGGAGACACTGATCCTGGGAAGGCACCGCCGACCTTAGGGAAATGGGGAAGGGAAGACATCCGGAGCGAGCGGATGGATTCCTGGAGACATGAACTTGAGGAAGGTTGTCGTTGAGGCTGACCTTAGGTAAGTGGGGAAGGGGAGACATCCGGAGCGAGCGGATGGATTCCTGGATACATGAACCTTAGCAAGGCAAGAATACATGCAGTTGAGGCTGACCTTGGGTAAGTGGGGAAGGGAAGATATGCGGCGGTAGACGGAAGGATTCCTGGATACATGAACCTGGGGACAGCAAGAAAACAGGTTTGTGAGGCTGACCTTAGGGAAGTGAGGAAGGGAAAACATCCGGAGGCAGACAGATGGATTCCTGGATACATGAACCTGGGGAAGGCTGAGGCTGGAAGGCAGAGAGAGAGAGAGAGGCGAGGCTGACCTGGGGAAGGCGAGGGGGGGGACCTTAAAGACGAACCACTGGCCTCCACGTGGCAAGGTCTGGTAACACTGGCCTCCACGTGGCAAGGTCTGGTAACACTGGCCTCCACGTGGCAAGGTCTGGTAACACTGGCCTCCACGTGGCAAGGTCTGGTAACACTGGCCTCCACGTGGCAAGGTCTGGTAACACTGGCCTCCACGTGGCAAGGTCTGGTAACACTGGCCTCCACGTGGCAAGGTCTGGTAACACTGGCCTCCAACGTGGCAAGGTCTGGGGAACACTGGCCTCACGTGGCAAGGTTGAAGGGTCTGGTAACACTGGGCCCCCACGTGGCAAGGCTGGTAACACTGGCCTCCACGTGGGAAGGTCTGGTAACACTGGCCTCCACTGGCAAGGTCTGGTAACACTGGCCTCCACGGGCAAGGTCTGGTAACCTTGGGCCCCCACGTGGCAAGGTCTGGTAACAAATGGCCTCCACGTGGCAAGGGTTGGGGAACCCCAAAACACCTGGCCTCCACGTGGCAAGGTCTGGTAACACTGGCCTCCACGTGGCAAGGTCTGGTAACACTGGCCTCCACGTGGCAAGGTCTGGTAACACTGGCCTCCACGTGGCAAGGTCTGGAACACTGGCCTCCACGTGGCAAGGCTTGGTTTAAAACTGGCCTCCACGTGGCAAGGTCTGGAAAAACTGGCCTCCACGTGGCAAGGTCTGGTAACACTGGCCTCCACGTGGCAAGGTCTGGTAACCTGGGGCCCCCACGTGGCAAGGTTGGTAACACTGGCCTCCACGTGGCAAGGTCTGGTAACATGGCCTCACACGTGGCAAGTCTGGTATCACTGGCTCCACGTGGCAAGGTCTGGTAAACTACTGGCCTCCAGTGGGCACAAGGTCTGGGTAACACTGGCCTCCACGTGGCCAAGGTTGGTACCACTGGCCACCACGTGGCAGGTCTGGTAACTCTGGCTCCACGTGGCAAGGTCTGGTAACCACTGGCCTCCACGTGGCATAGGTCTATGGATAACACTGGGCCTCCACGTGGCAAGGTCTGTAACACTGGCCCTCCACGTGGCAAGGTTGGTAACACTGGCCTCACGTGGCAAGGTTGGTAACCACTGCCTCCCGTGGGCAAGGTTGGTAACACTGGCCTCCACGTGGCAAGGTCTGGTAACACTGGCCTCACGTGGCTAGGTCTGGTAACACTGGCCTCACGTGGCAAGGTCTGGTAAACACTGGCATCAACGTGGCAGGTCTGGTAACACTGGCCTCACGTGGCAAGGTCTGGTAACTCAGATATAAACTCGAGGCTGACAGTGGTCGCCAAATATATTATAATTCATTATATTATTATTATTATGTTATTATTATTATTATTATTCTGTTATTTTGAATACTATTATTTATGATTATTATGTTATTAGTATTTAATTATTATTGTTTTATTCATGATCTGGATTCTAAAGCATCACCGCTCCCTGCAGTTGCATCGGTGGTGTTATTCCACTCCAGCCTCCCTGACAGTAGCATTGGTGGTGTTATTCCCACTCCGCCTCCCTGGACTGTGCATCGGTGGTGTTATTCCCTCTCCAGCCTCCCTGTCAGTAGCATCGGTGGTGTTATTCCACTCAGCCTGCCCCTGACAGTGATTGGTGGAGTTATTCCCCTCCAGCCTCCTGACAGTAGCATCGGTGTGTTATTCCCACTTCCAACCTCCTGACAGCTTTGGTGGGTTATCCACTCCAGCATCCATGACAGTAGCTCCGTGTGTTAATTTCCACCCTAGCCTTCCCTGACAGTAGCATCCGTGGTATATTATTCCACTCAGCCTCACTGACCAGTTAGCATCCGTGGTAAATTAGTCCCACTCCAGCCTTCCATGACAGTAGCATCCGTGGTATTATTCCCTCTCCAGCCTCCCGACAGTAGAATCGGTGATGTTATTCCACGCAGACTCTGACTGTCGCTTGGTTGGTGTTATTGCCCACTCCAGACTCCCTGACAGGTAGCTATTCGTGGTGTATTTCCCACTCCAGCCTCCCTGGACAGTAGCATTGGTCGTTGTTATTCCCACTCCAGCCTCCGGACAGTAGCATGGTGGTTGTTTTTTTCCCACTCCAGCCTCCTCCGTGACTGTTAGCATTGGTGGTGTTATTCCACTCCAGGCCTCCGTGACTGTAGAGTGGTGGTGTTAATTTCCCACTCCAGCCTCCCTGACAGTAGCATTGGTTGATGTTATTCCCACTTCCAGCCTCCCTGACAGTAGCATCGGTGATGTTATCCACTTCAGCCTCACTGACAGTAGCATGGTGTTGTTCTTCCGCTCAGCCTCCCTGACAGTAGCTTCGGTTGATGTTATTCCCTCTCCAGCTCCCTGACTGTAGCATGGTGGGGTTATTCCCACTCCAGCCTCCATGACAGTAGCATCGGTGGTGTTATTCCCACTCCAGCCTCCTGTCAGTTTGCATCGGTTGGCTGTTATTCCCACTCCAGCCATCCCTGACTGTAGCATTGGTGGTGTTATTCCCTCTCCAGCCTCCCTGACAGTAGCATAGACTAGGTGGGTGTTAGTCCCACGACAGCCTCCTGACAGTAGCATCGGTGGTGTTATTCCCACTCCAGCCTCCCTGACAGTAGCATCGGTGGTGTTATTCCCACTCCAGCCTCCCTGACAGTAGCATTGGTGGTGTTATACCCACTCCCGCACTCCCTAGACAGTAGAACGGTCGTGTATTCCCACTCCAAGCTCCCTGACAGTAGCATCGGTGGTGTTATTCCCACTCCAGCCTCTCTGACAGTAGCATCGGTGGTGTTATTCCCACTCCAGCCTCACTGACAGTAGCATCGGTGGTATTATTCCCACTCCAGCCTCCATGACAGTAGCATGGGTGGGTGGGTTGGATGGGCGGGTGTGTGTGTGTGATCATGGTGGGGTGTGGTCATAGTCAGGTGTGGTTTATGTTTCCAGGTCTCCAGCCGTGGGCCCCAGATGTCAACCCTTCCACATTTCCCACTCCCGGTTGTCTTGGTGCTTTCCCTAGTTCCGTGTGTCCAGAAGTCCACCTGTGTCCCCTCAGATGAACTCCCTTCCTCACTTTCCCAGGTGGGCGGGTGGCTGGGTGGGTTGTTGGGTGGGTGGGTTGGATGGACGGGTGTGTGTGTGTGATCATGGTGGGGTGTGGTCATAGTCAGGTGTGGTTTATGTTTCCAGGTCTCCCAGGCCGTGGCCCCAGATGTCAACCTTCCACATTCTTTCTCCCGGTTGTTTGTGGTGCTTCCCTAGTTCCATGTGTCCAGAAGTCCACCGTGTCCCTAGATGAAGTCCCTTCACTTTCCAGGTGGGCGGGGTGGGTTGGGTTGTTGGGTGGGTGGGTGCGTGGGTTGTTGGGTGAGTGGGTGGGGGTGTTGTTGCGTGGCGGTTGGTTGGTGGGACGGGTGAGTGTATGTGTACTCACCGAATTGTGGTTGCAGTAACCTTGTTGGTGGTATCTGGGGTCTTGTCTAGCTGGTCTACTGCCCAGAAGACTGTCCAGGTGGGTGGATTACAGGAGGGGACACACAGAAATACTGCGTCTGTAATTACACCACCCAGACAGCTGGAACAGTAGTCAGCAGGACAAGGACCAAAGGCTGCTTACCAAACTCGGCCACCAAGGTGTGGTTACTTAGTGATAAATCTCGGACTTTCTATTTTAAAGGATTCATTAAGTGTTAAGTTGTATTTTTGTTTTGTTTTCAAATATGCTGCTTATAAGCGTACTTAGTGAATGTTTTATCGTGTATAGATGTGTGTCCGTGTGTCATTCTGTCTTCCCACATGAAATTGCTACAAAAAAGTTATCAGCTTTCTATGTGTTAAAATCATTTTCCTATTATGAAGACACTGAAACTTCCCAGTACACAAGTACATTCACACGCACACACGGATAACCACGGACACATGTATTTCTCTCGTTCCTCTCGTTCATCTAATATTCTTTTGCGGAGGCAATAACACCAGAAATAAAGGAAGTCTTTAGACTAAGTTCTGTAATGAATCTTGTACTTTCCTACAATCTTCCACAACAGTGTTCCCATAATGGTATTGGTTTCCCAAAACAATTATGTTGACTCAAATTCCAAAAAAGTTTCACTTAACATTTCTCACGAACATCACTCTCTCATTCCGCACTAAATATCTCATCTAATAATAAGTCGACCTTCACGGTAGTCTCAGATTTGTGACAGGACTGGGTATATACAATACGGCAAAGATGAAAATTAAGACCTTGTGCAACATCTGGTATTTTATAGTAGACGTTTCGCCATCCAGTGGCTTTATCATTTACAGATTTCTTCGGACATTAATTAGAAAACAGGAAGAACTAATACAAGTTGAGGTAATCAGTCCCTCAGCCTTGGAGGTGGTGTTTACAGCACCATGGTTGTAGAGATTCTGAAGCACAGTAAGGAGACTGGCGCTTATATAGGCGTCAGTGAATAGGGACGCGTAGCAGACGAGGGCATAGTCACTGGTAGGCGGGATTCCCCAGTGGAAGTAGGTCCTTCCCAAATTGATGGGCTAGTTGTCGAAGTCGTGAAGAAGGTCAAGTAGATGTCCTCTAAATCAAGATACCATGATGTTGCAGTGTCTGACAAGTTGTGCAAGACAGGTATACAATACCGACAAGATGAAAGTTAAGACACTTGTGCAACATCTGGTTATCTTCATTGTAGACGTTTCGCCATCCAGTGGCTTTATCAATACAGATTTTTGGACATAATTAGAAAACAGAAGAACTATATACAATTATGCACAACCTGTCAGGCACTGCTTTATCAAGACTAGTTGTTGATAGAGCATTTACGATTCCGCCCACTTTCCAGGTATAACAGAATAACATATGAACATCACAACACAAAATATTATACTGTGGTATGTGAATATTATAGTACATCACATTATAAAGTAGTATCGGAAACATTAAAAAATGTGTAATTTCCAGACTACGGGAACGATCATCCATGAATGCTGCTGCATGTCTCTCTCTTTCCGCCCATCCACCCTAATCTCTCTCTCTCTCTCTCTCTCTCTCTCTCTCTCTCTCTCTATCTATCTATCTATCTATCTTTCGCTCTTTCTCTCGCAGTCTCTCGTCTCTCCGCGTTTGCGCAATAGCTAGAGGAGCTTCAGACCCGGG